CCACCCTCCGGTGGAATCGGCCGTGTGATAATAAAAAAAAATAAATAAATGAGAAACAGATAGCGGAACAGCATCCTCAAGCAATCATAGTAAAAGGGTAGGAAGTTTTATGACATTTAATTAAAAAAATGCCAGCAACTAGTGATTGAGTGAATTTTTAAAGGGCCCCAAAGTTGTTTGAGAATTTTAAAACCGTAGTGGGGATTCAAGTGTATAAGGCATGGGGAGGGGCCACGGGCCACAAAGCGGCTGAAAAATTTGCAGGACTTAAAGGGACAAGACAGTGAAGAACTGAAACCGAACAAGTTTAATTGTGACGAAACAGGGCCCGTTTTGGAAAAAAAATACCAAGCAGGACGTACATTATCAGGAGGAAAAGGCAAACTCCCGGGCATAAACCTATAAAAAAAAAGGGTTACTTTGTTTATGTTGGCCCAAACTAGTGGTGATTTGCAAAGTGAAGCCTTTATTGGGGTTATCCTCTGAAACCCCCAGAGTGTTCAGGAAAAAAAATGTCCTCAAGGCTAATTTGTGTGTGCTGTGGAGGGCAAACAGTAAGGCATGGGTCACTAGGGACTTTTTCTATGACTGGTTACACCATGCATTTGCCCCCGATGTGAAAAATTACCTAATTGAAAAGAAATTAGACCTTAAGTGCCTCCTGGTATTAGACAATGCCCCTGGTCATCCTACAGATGTGGCAGAGCGACTTTCTAGAGACATGAGCTTCATTAAGTTGAAGTTTTTGCCTCCTAATACCACTCCTCTCCTGCAGCCCATGGACCAGCAGGTTATTTCCAACTTCAAGAAACTGTACACAAAAGCTATGTTTGAAAGGTGCTTTGTAGTGACCTCAGAAACTCAACTGACTCTAAGAGAGTTTTGGAAAGATCATTTTTCCATCCTCAATTGTGTAAACATTATAGGTAAGGCTTGGGAGGAAGTGACTAAGAGGACATTGAACTCTGCTTGGAAGAAACTGTGGCCAGAATGTGTAGACAAAAGGGATTTTGAAGGGTTTGAGGCTAACCCTGAGAATCCTATGCCAGTTGAGTAATCCATTGTGGCATTGGGGAAGTCCTTGGGGTTGGAGGTTAGTGGGGAGGATGTGGAAGAGTTGGTGGTGGAGGACAGTGAAGAACTGATGAGCTGCTAGATCATCTTGAACAGCAAGAGGGCAGACCTGAGGAAACTGCTTCGGAGGAGGGGAGAGAGAAATTGAAGAAGTTGCCTACTTCTAAGATTAAGGAAATCTGTGCAATGTGGCTCAAAGTGCAAAGCTTTATGGATGATAATCACCCTGATACAGCTACTGCAAGCCGTGTTGGCAACCTGTACACTGATAATGTTGTGAACCACTTTAGGAAAGTCATAAAGAACGAGAAGTACAGGCCTTTATGGACAGATATGTTGTGCGACAGAAGTCCAGTGACTCTCAAGCTTGTCCTAGTGGCATTAAAAGAACAAGGGAAGTAACCCCAGAAAAAGACTTGCTGCCTCAAGTGCTAATGGAAGGGGATTCCCCTTCTAAACAGTAAGAAGATAACGCTCTCCCCTCCTCCCATCCCATCAATCATCACCAGATCTTTAGTAAGGGTAAGTGCCATGTAACTGTGCATGTAATCTTCAGTTTGTGTGTATTAAAATTAATATTTCATGTGGTAAAAATTTTTTTTTTCAATACTTTTGGGTGTCTTGCATGGATTAATTTGATTTCCATTATTTCTTATGGGGAAAATTAACTTGATTAACAATTATTTTGACTAATGATGAGCTCTCAGGAACGGATTAATGTTGCTGGTTGAGGGTCCACTGTATAACTATCAGAGTACATATAAAATATGCAGTAACTTTAAAACACTTGAAATTTTGGAAAGTTTCCTGACATAATAGATGTGATCACGGAAAATGTAAACAAACCGAGTGAGGGGCGCCGTATTTGAAAGACCACTTGCCGTATAGCAAATTTTGGTTATAATTTGACATTGCCCTATTAGCGGAATGCCGTAAGGTGAAATGCCATAAAGCGGGGCCTTACTGTACATTTCTGCAACAGTCATCTCTTTCCACCGGTGAAGTCTTGACTGTGGTGATATGATCGTATTTGCCATGGTGTACTCAAAATACTTGTTACTTTCCCTGACAATAATTTCCATCAAGGGCTGGTCAAAGAATATTTCAAAAAATTCCAGTTCATTGGCCGTGGTTCCAAGGGGACAAGTAGGTAGAATTCCACTTTGAGAGTCATTAAAGTGGTGGGGCTTGGGAACAAAATTGGGATTTTGCTGCCAATCCCAGATACGGTTTGCTGGTGGATACTGGACATCATAGGCTGGTTGTGCGGGTAGTTGTGGTGGGCTGGTGGCTGACGCTCCGCTTTGTCCTTGAACTGCGGAGTCAGCAGCATGGGTCCGAGCCTGGGCTGGTGAGTCACGCATGGCCCTGGCACTACCATCACCACTACCAACATCTACTGACGCCTGTGGTCTATCCATGCCAAGTGTAGCCACATCATCCTCACTTTCACTGTCTATTCCTGGTGTAGGGCCACGGGATGTACACCGGGATGTACTTCGGGATGTACTCTGTCCCCTGGGCACGGCATAGGGTACACTACCCGAGCGCATGCGGCAGCGTACATACCGACACTTCACTGGTGAATATGTTTCCTCACTATCACTACTCGAATGATCGTCAAGAGCAATAAAATCACAATCCACGTCACTATCATCATCATTACTGAAGTCAGAGGCCTGGCCATGCGAAAATAATAGTTTTTTCTTGCGTTGAGGTACAAGTGACCATGACTGAAGAGTGCCCACACCAGAGGTAGAAGGTTGAGGATCGTCAGGGTTTTCTGCACTATTATCGATGTCCTGGTCATTCTTTTCGGTCACTAACTGATCAAAGCCAAAGAATTCGTCTTCATTTCCACTTCCATCAGTGTCAGAACTATCAGATAGGAAGAGGAGAGTCCCAATTTTCCTTGGAGTGAGAGCTGCCTTGCGACAAGGCATGGTGAACAAGGGTAACTGAGCCGGCGTTCCCACAATGCTATGCGGGCGCCTAGATTTTTTGTTTATGGCGCACACCCACCATGCAGACCCGTTCTCTCACATGTAGGCCGATGAGCGTTTTTGCGCTAAATTTGACGGCGCTAGAATTTTGGCGTAGATCTACAGTTTGGACACTCAACATGAAGCCGTAGATCTATGGGACGGACCCTGAAAGGGTTAAACACATTAGATATTAATGGTATAGTATGTGTTGATGCAGCAATTGGCAGTATGAGTGAGAGCAGGTGTAACCATCACAGTGATGCTGCATTTACCTAAGAACAATAGAAGAACATAATGCTTCAGAGGGGAAATAATCTCCCTGTGCTGTCATGATAAATGGTTCTTTACAGCAAAATATGGTGATAGTACTCAAAATTTCAGTCACATTATACGTACTGGTAAAATGGTACTTGGATGGACAATAGGTAGTGCTCTACTGCATATCCTAAAGTTTCTTGACATTTCCAGTGGTTGTAGGACTTGCTACCTCTTCTTATAAACCAACCCAGTGTTCTGTCACAGTGGAGAGAAACTTGCTGCGTACTGGCCAGGTGTATCATGTGGCAACATTTCGTTGTCTAGAAACTTTGTTGAGACGTTAGTTAGAATTATTGGCAAAAATGATAGTGAAAATGTTGCCACAGTAAAATGTCACAGTTGCAGCTGTGTTCTTTTACCTAATATGTTGTTGGCAATTCTACCATTATTATCAGGTGCATCAAGTCCAGTAGACACCCCTTCTTAACCCTTTGACTGTTTCAGTTGTATATGTCTTACAAGGTACCGTGTTTGATGTATATATACTCAAAAATTCTAGCGGCTTCAAATCAAGCAGGAGAAAGCTGGTAGGCCCACATGTGAGAGAATGGGTCTCTGTGGTCAGTGTGCACCATATGAAAAAACCTGGAGCATGCAGTGCATAATGAGAAAAAAAAAACTCCGACCATTTTTTTTAATTAAAATGACGAATTTGTGGTCTATTTTCGTATAGTATTTATGGTTGTATTCTCGTTTTCTTGGTCTCATTTGATAGAATGGAAAACATATTATAGAAATAGAGGTGATTTTGATTGATTTTACTATAAAAAGAACCTGGAAATGGAGCTCAAAGTAGGGGAAATGTTTAATTTTTGCCTATGTTCAAAAGTAAACAAATGATGTCATTGTCCAATAAATGTCCAACTAGCCATTCTAATATGCAGTCATGAATGGGTTTGATGTTATTTATACAATTATTACAGTATTGCAGTAGTCTGCATAACAGTAAATCTCCTATTTTTTGTTTGAATAAAAATTCAAAATAGAAAGCAAGAGTAATATCAGAGGGGCCTGGAGACGTGACTGATGAACAAAGAAAATGTTATTTTAGAGCCAGGAATGTCTGCATTGTTCATTCTGGACCTTATTTTGAAATTGTCATATTTTTTAATTTTCGTGAAATTGGCCAAATTGCAAATTTCTGACCTCGTTATTGGGTAGTTGAAATCGGTAAATGGGGAGTTTCTTGTACTCAGTCGATAGAAAAAATGGAGTTCTAAAGAAATAGCTATGATTTTGGTCGACTGGAACAATGGAATTAGCCGAAAATAGCACTCAAAGTGGGCAAAATCGCCGATTTGTAAATATCGCTGAGGTCGCTAACTTCGTGAGAGCGTAATTTTGTCAGTTTTCCATCAAATTTCATTTTTTTGATGTCATTACAATTGGGAAAAGATTCTCTATCATTTCATAAGAATTTTTTTTTTTTTAAATTTTGTGACACCAGGAGACACCTCAGGATTGGGGGGTTGCGACAGTCAAGGGGTTAACACCTGCTTTAACTTATTTTTCCTTTTCTTTTTCAGTCTTTAACTTGCTATGTTAAATTGCCACAGGTATCTTCACCTTGATACTTTTTATATTTTTATAGACAATGCTATAACTTATTTTTTTATTTTTCAGAAGGAGTAATAGAAAGGACCGTTGGTGAATATTATGCTATTCAGGAGCAAATAGAGATGGGACAGATGGCTGAATTATTTTATCCCAGAGGTAAGAGAGGAATTAACATTTTTCACTATGCTATTTTAGTGTTAAATACACTGTTTTTAATGTACAGTATATCCTTCTGCTCAACACTTAGATGATGTAATATTTATATGTATATTCCTTGTATATATATCTCAGCTTCAGATACCGTTACCAAGACACAAATGCCCTTATTAACCCTTTGAGGGTGGCCTGGTGGTCTGGTGGCTAAAGCTCCCGCTTCACACTCGGAGGGCCTGGGTTCGATTCCCGGCGGGTGGAAATTCTGACACATTTCCTTACACCTATTGTCCTGTTCACCTAGCAGCAAATAGGTACCTGGGTGTTAGTCGACTGGTGTGGGTCGCATCCTGGGGGACAAGATTAAGGACCCCAATGGAAATAAGTTAGACAGTCCTCGATGACGCACTGACTTTCTTGGGTTATCCTGGGTGGCTAACCCTCCGGGGTTAAAAATCCGAACGAAATCTTATCTTATCTTATCTTGACATGTCCTCTCAGAGACTTGTTCTCAGGATCGGCCAAATTTAAAAAAAAAATAATTATTTTTTCTTATGAAAAAATAGTTTTTTTTTTCTGAACATTATAGGCTAAACAAAAATTTTTTAGCATCAATACTTAACGAGATATGGAGGTGTGAAGTTGACGAGAAAGGGGCACAATGTGGCAATATTGCTGACTGCCATCACCCGGTATTCTTTTATTTACTGTTTTATGTACTATTTTCTATTATTTTTAATTTTTCTTTTTCCAAGTAACTTTTATGGCCTGTGAGACCAATATGATCAGTATTTTGTAAGTTATTTCTTTTTCAATACTACACAATAAAGGTGTAAACACTGTTGTCATTGTTTTGTTTATAGAAAATAAACAAACGATATGAAATGTTGTTTATTACTATTTTTCTATATTTTATATACACATATACAGTCACTGGGAATGTTTATAGAAGTTCTGCAGCCTGTGGAAGTCTTTGAAACATGGTGTCATGCACAGTGGTGTTTTACATTCCTCACACATAAAACGAGTGTCTCTGCGTTGTTGTTGGCGTTTCCTTGTATGTGCACGGACGTAACACCTCTTCTGAGCCTTTTTCTTGAAAGCAGTAGCAGGCAGTTTTACTTGGAAGTGATCACCATGCTTCAGACGAGAAGATAGTTGTTGATAATTTGGTGGGTGGTCTATTGCAGGTGTTCTTCCTTGGTACTTGAATACTATTTGTCTGATGCAGACAAACAGAATTCACCATATTGTGGTTTGTTTCTGGTCCTCATCTTATACATATTATAAGCATTGAGCATGGAAATGTCCAGAAGATGGAAAAAGAGTTTTATGTACCACTTATAACTCTTGCAAACACAGTCAGCAAACCCAATCTGCATGTCACATTTGTCCACTGAATGCATATTGAAGGTGTAATCAATCACAGCTGCAGGTTTTAGAATGGGTTCATTGCTCTCTCTATGCTGCCTGCCAGTGTCTGCCATTTCATTAGGGTGAACTGATGACAACAGTGTGAATCTCGTTTGTCATGCCACCGAAATGCCATGATGTCATTGGCAGCAAACTCCTGCACCTCACGTCTACGAGTGCCAGCGTCAAACCTGGGCATATATTTCCGATTTGCACGCACTATGCCACACACATCTGTCATGTTCACTTGCAAAAAATCACTGAGTGAGAGGCTTGTGTACCAGTTATCAGTATATAATATATGCCCCTTACCAAGGTATAGTTCAATCATTGTTCTAACCACATCACCAGAGATGCCCAATAACTTCCTGGTATTTTGCAATGTATAACTTCCAGTGTACACAATAATATCCAATACCAGACCACTGTAACAATCACAAAGCGCAAAAAACTTTATACCAAAGCGTTTCCTCTTGCTTGGTATGTACTGCTTGAAAGAGAGTCTTCCTTTCAACAGAATCAAAGACTCGTCAATTACAAGCTTCCTGAAGGGATAAAAATACATATTGAATTTCTCTTTCAGATACTCTCTTTCAGATACACAAACACATGCCTAATCTTTTATAATCTGTTGTTTCTGTCAGGCCTGGTTTTGTCTGAGAAGTGAAGCATACGTAACATTAGCACAAATCGATTCACTGGCATTATATCACTGAAACCTGGGGTTGCAATCAGGTGGTCTGTTGAACAGTATGATTTCACTCTGTGCTTATACACATGTGGCATAAGCATTATTGTGACAAAGAAAAGATACATCTCAGCCACAGTTGCCTCCTTCCACTGGTGTAGATGTGATTTTGGTGAAAGTATTGTGTTTGCCATGGTGTACTCGTAGTATGTGTTGCTTTCCATGACGATACTTTCCATCAGGAGTTTGTCAAAGAATAACTTGAAACATTCCAGTTCAGTGGCATTGTTCCCAAGTGTACAAGATGGCCATATTCCACTTTGGCTGTCATCAAACTGGTGGGGATTTGGAACAAAATTGACAGCTTCCTGCCAATCCCAGGTGCGGTCTGCTGGTGGGTACTGGACAATGACAGGTGGTTGTGGTTGTGGAGGTTGTGGTTGTGAAGGCTGGTGTGGTGGGTGGGTGGGGGATGGTGGCCTTTGTTGTAGATCAGCTGAGGCAGCAGCATGGGTGGCAGTGTGGGTGGCAGCATGGCCCATTGCTGGTGCCTCAAGGACGGCACCACCACTACCATCACCATGCACATTTTCAGTCCCAATTGCAAGACTATCATCGTCATTTTCACTGTCTGTTCCTGTTGTACAGCCATTGGATGTACTCTGAGATGTACTCCTTCCCCTTGGAATAGTATATGGCACACTACCAGAGCGCATATATCGTCGCATATACTGACGCTTCACTGGGGAATATTGCACTTCACTGTCACTACTGGAACTAGTTTCAAGAGCTTGTAGTTCATATTCACTATCACTATCATCACAAGTGCTCACATCTGAGTCTGGGATTTGGGAAAATAGGAGTTTCCTCTTTGAATCTGGTACAACTGAATGTGAACAAGACGGCCCAGCACCAGAGGTGGAAGGCTGAGGGTTATCTGGGTTTTCCTCACTATTACTGATATTATTGTCATTAGTTTCAGTCAAAACCTCACCAAAACCTTGAAACTCATCTTCACTGGCACTTCCATCTGTATTAGAACTGTCACTGGGGAACAAAAGTGTCCCAATTCGTCGAGGAGTGAGGAACTTCTTACCGCGAGGCATGGTGGACATTGTGTACTAAGATGGCATTCCCACAATACACCACTGGGTCCCAGATTTTTTTTCTACTGCACACACAGACCACACAGACCCATTCTCTCACATCTAAGTCTACCAGCCTTTTCCTGCGAGATTTGACGGCGCTAGAATTTATGCGTACTAGTACGTCAAAAACCCCTGCGCGTAAGCCGTAGTAGTACGTCCGAAACCCCCAAAGGGTTAATACGGAAATACCCTTACTGATACACAAATACTCTTACCAAGACACACATTTTTTTCAACAAATTGGCCATATCCCACTGAGGGAGGGTGTCCTAAAAAGAAAAACAAAAGATTATTTTTTTATTTTTATTATCACACTGGCCGATTCCCACCAAGGCAGGGTGGCCCGAAAAAGAAAAACTTTCACCATCATTCACTCCATCACTGTCTTGCCAGAAGGGTGCTTTACACTACAGTTTTTAAACTGCAACATTAACACCCCTCCTTCAGAGTGCAGGCACTGTACTTCCCATCTCCAGGACTCAAGTCCGGCCTGCCGGTTTCCCTGAACCCCTTCATAAATGTTACTTTGCTCACACTCCAACAGCACGTCAAGTATTAAAAACCATTTGTCTCCATTCACTCCTATCAAACACGCTCACGCATGCCTGCTGGAAGTCCAAGCCCCTCGCACACAAAATCTCCTTTACCCCCTCCCTCCAACCTTTCCTAGGCCGACCCCTACCCCACCTTCCTTCCACTACAGACTGATACACTCTTGAAGTCATTCTGTTTCACTCCATTCTCTCTACATGTCCGAACCACCTCAACAACCCTTCCTCAGCCCTCTGGACAACAGTTTTGGTAATCCCGCACCTCCTCCTAACTTCCAAACTACGAATTCTCTGCATTATATTCACACCACACATTGCCCTCAGACATGACATCTCCACTGCCTCCAGCCTTCTCCTCGCTGCAACATTCATCACCCACGCTTCACACCCATATAAGAGCGTTGGTAAAACTATACTCTCATACATTCCCCTCTTTGCCTCCAAGGACAAAGTTCTTTGTCTCCACAGACTCCTAAGTGCACCACTCACTCTTTTTCCCTCATCAATTCTATGATTCACCTCACTTTCATAGACCAATCCGCTGACACGTCTACTCCCAAATATCTGAATACGTTCACCTCCTCCATACTCTCTCCCTCCAATCTGATATCCAATCTTACATCACCTAATCTTTTTGTTATCCTCATAACCTTACTCTTTCCTGTATTCACCTTTAATTTTCTTCTTTTGCACACCCTACCAAATTCATCCACCAATCTCTGCAACTACTCTTCAGAATCTCCAAGAGCACAGTGTCATCAGCAAAGAGCAGCTGTGACAACTCCCATTTGTGTGTGATTCTTTATCTTTTAACTCCACACCTCTTGCCAAGACCCTCGCATTTACTTCTCTTACAACCCCATCTATAAATATATTAAACAACCACGGTGACATCACACATCCTTGTCTAAGGCCTACTTTTACTGGGAAAAAATTTCCCTCTTTCCTACATACTCTAACTTGAGCCTCACTATCCTCGTAAAAACTCTTCACTGCTTTCAGTAACCTACCTCCTACACCATACACTTGCAACATCTGCCACATTGCACCCCTATCCACCTGTCATACGCCTTTTCCAAATCCATAAATGCCACAAAGACCTCTTTAGCCTTATCTAAATACTGTTCACTTATATGTTTCACTGTAAACACCTGGTCCACACACCCCTTACCTTCCTAAAGCCTCCTTGTTCATCTGCTATCC